AGAGAGAGAGAGAAAGAGAGGCGGCGTCTGCCACGGCCCGTTGCCGATGAATTATACGTTGGACAATGTTTCTATTTGGGATGCTTGGCCCGGTGCAACGCGTCAACCTGTTCATGCGCGCCGATGATGAATCAACGCAGAACCGTTGCTCCTCGGTCTACCGACTCGACGTTGCTGACCTATGACGCGGCACTTCACGGAGATCTTTTGTGGATTACTGATGAACACTGCGAACCCTTTTGGGAATAATAAGGTAATTGAGTATTGTGATGAGACTTGAATAGGGAGACTTGAATTGTTTTCTTTTATCCTTTGTGCAATCGCTTCTTTGTAGTATTTATTTTTTTCTTCTTTTGTTGATTTTTGGCATTCAGAGTAGTTTGTCTGTCTGAGTGATTTGCGAGGTTGATAACACAGTGATTGGGTGGATTTTACTGGTATCTGGTTTACTGTTATATAGTGATCGTGGGAATTATTGATTCTTCTGTTTTTTTCATCTTATCAATTTTTGAGTTTGCAACTGATGTAAATGGGTGCTACAGTTATGGCGGATATTGCATTCGGTTTGGTATTCCCTTTACTGGCATGTTTGTGCTTCATAGCAGTCACTTTCGATGTTGAGTTTGTACCTACTTCATTGTCATCTTCCTCTCCTGATTTTATAATGAATATATCAAGTTATACAGTTACCTTTGTAAAAAATGATTAAATTTGTTTGTTCATTCTCGCACGGATACTCATATTCTTACGAAATTCTTATGGAACATTCAAATCCAGTCAATTTATAATGTTCCATACTATTAATGTCATATTTCTCGACAAAAATATTACGAAGCGGATAATACGAAAGAAAACAGCGTTCCGATTCCCGGGATAACGATTAATACAGAAAGAAGAAAAATAGAGAGTAAACGCGAAACGGAGCGAAAATAGAATCTGCCGCCCGTTGTTCGCAGTCGGAGATAGGAGGCTGTGTTAATTTTAACCGATAATTAAATGCGAAGAATTCATTTCTCGCGGGGCCACGTGCAGCCGGTTCCGCGGCCAAAGAGGTTTCTATTTAAACCGTCCGGGCCCGGTTGACTCGCGTATACGTGTCATCCCCAGCTTTTGATCCTGACAGGTGAACAACGTGAGAAAAGTCTTATTAACGAGCCGCGTTTGTACCGTCGAACGTTGGTACTTCTTGAACAATTTCTGCGCGTCATAAATACTCGTTGATCATCGCCGACAGAGCCCGCACGGCACGAACTAAACCTCCGACCGTCCATGTTGCCGGGACCGTGCGACGCGGTGCGGCTCGGCGAACAGCGAGAGCGCGACCGAACGTTAATCCATAATTACCTGATTACATATTTTATTGTTGTGCGAACCCCGGGTCTCCATTTGCCGGCCGCATTTCGAATTATTTACTTACCAATTACATTAATTATATCGTCAATAATTAATCCAATTATAAACGAATATTGTCGTTGTCTATTCCATTAACAGCTGCGTCGTCGCGCCGGGAGCAGTCGTCCATCGCGTCCAGCCTATTACCAGACCGGCATCGTTGTTAACTCTCCCAAGTAACTGTTTATTTTCTATTGTGTATAACCGGAGCTCGTTTAATTAATTGTTTTTATCTCCCGTTCGTCTCCCTCGCCGCCCTTCACCGTCCCGCCGTTCCGCATTGTTCACCTGGTTACCGAGGCTTTCCTATAACAAATAATTAATTTCTTCCCCTTTCGAGAATCGTGCGCTTTCCTTTCAACGGCTGTCAATTGTTTTGTTTCGTATCTTTTGCGGGGTTGTTTTGTTGACCTCGGTAGAAACGGTTTTTATTTGTTCATCTGAGACGGTAACAGAATGAGCGGTCATGCGGTAATAATAAAAAGGGTAATACAAATAATCGGGCACCGGTCACGCTGTAGTTAATGTGAATATTATTTATGTTATTAAAGATTATTCTGATAATATTGGATTGTTATTATGTTCATATAATAATATTCGAAATTAAATTTTGATATTAATAAACGGACAAATGGAAACTTGTTGAAACACGCGCACCGGTGTGTTTGAACAAGAAATTGACTCGTATAAAGATCAGACGTGGACAATATGATTCTTGTACTTATTATGTACCCTGCCATTTTTACACTTATTATAGTAGTTATGATCTAAATGATAATCTGCATTAATCAACTTAATTTTTGAAGTTGTTTAGATTATATTCATTTGAATTAATAATCGGCCATTTGACACCGTGCTATCAATATTTTATTTACGAGCAAAAGAAACTTTCATTACACTGTTCTATTAAAGTAACGTTACTTATTAGGTATCTTAGCAGAATTTATTTTTTATTTCTGTTTACCAATGACAGCTCAGATTTACTACAAAGGGTTTTCAAATAATTATTCAGAAGGGATTATGAGCACGGGAGATTTGTAATTCTAACGTATAGGAAAAACTTTTACCTTTTAAGCTTCCGGTAACGAAGAAAATAATTACATGGTCCCGTTAACAGGATACTGGAAATTGAAAACAGAAGATATTAACGAAAAAATATAGGAATACGTTGATCGTGTGGGTGTAGACACATAAATTTTATCCAGAACACCCGGTAATCTCGGCATTTTAAATGCGCCCCATAAATTTTATACCATTTTAATTCTCTGATAATACGATTAAAAGAAATATTAAACATTTTTATATAGGATTGTTTCGGAACCAAACATAAATTTTATACAAAATTCGTAACGATGTCAATATTTTATATTCATTTCATAAATATAATACGTTTCATTTCATAAACTTTGAATAATTATAATTTGCTTTTATCATTCTAAAAAAGAAAGTATTAAAAATTTGTTTGCATTGAGTTTAGCTGTTTACATAAATTTCATATAAAGTTCGCGGTAATATAAATATTTCGTTGTATAAACGGATAATTTATATTCTCTGCTTGCACGATTAAAAATGGAGATAAAAATAATGATTTCCGTTCTGCTCGAATTTTTCTCGATTACTGAAATATTGTAATCGTATACTGCTCAAACATGGCGTTACTATTGTCGGATAAAACCACAGTAGACACGTATATTTTTACTACCAAAACATTTTAACTTACCTTACATAAGAAAAACCAATTCCTCATTATCGCTATTAATATCAGTATCTATATTTGTAGCTCGTAAAACAATACTTTTATAATACATATTATTTTTATAAAACACAATATTTACCTTTAAACCTCAATTAATCAATACACTGCCATTACGTACGTTTAACGTACGCATTTACCTTCTTTCCAATATAGTTTCCATATTTCAGAGTTACGGTGTATTTATAGACGTTACATTTCTACATGACGAAATTTCCATATTTACCATTAAACAATACATATTAATTGCATGTTCCAAACGGTCACTAAACTTTCTGCAATTATAAAAGAATTCCCGCCCGAAGTACCCAAATTAAATTCAAATTACCTCGAAAACGCGAGTGTTGTTTCATTTTATATTCCACGGGAGCATTCTCAATTCCCGAGGAGCACCGTCATCGGCATTTAGACCGGTTGATTCTCCCTCTAAACAGGGAAGGGATGAACGAAAATCCGTCGCGTCTCGTTCGGCGGGCCGCGAGGCTCGTAAAGACGAGAAACGTTTGTTCAGCGCGAATAAAAGTGCAAAGCGCCAGCGATTCCCTTAAAGCGATAGTTTCGAGCGGCGGCCGCCGGCGGGACACTGATGCATGGATCGCCGCGCCTGTTCCGTGTCTGGCTGTTTAATAAATAGCCGAATGGACCACCCCGTCGTCGTCTTCCATTGATTCCCCACTCCTTTTTTTACTCATCTGTCGAGCTCTTTCGCGCCATGGAAATCACTGATACCCCCGTTGTTCTTTGTGTTTCGGAAAACGATGCCTCTGAATTTACTTTCGCGCCCTCTCACCGCTCCTTTTCCACCCTTCCCCTGATCCCCTTCCGCGAACTATATCTCGACTCATTTTTCTCTCTTTCTGTCCCCCTTCAGCGGTTTGCGTTTCCGTTT